GCAAAGCCGGCCTCCTTGTCACGCGGGTCCTGCCGCCAATACCACTCGATGATGGTAGGCGACAGAACTTCGACCGCTTCCGCTTCCTGGCAGGGAGTACAGTACTAGTGATGGAAAAAAAACCATGAAGATGGCCTCCGCAGCAGCTTCTTCTGGAGAGGGTTTCTCCGTAGGCACCGGAGTTTCATCCATGGCTGGACGACGGAGCGGTCGTGACCCGGGGTTTTCGTAGCTATGGTGGTGACAGTAGTTAGGGATTCGGGACTTCAGGGTCGAGGACTTCACATGCGACAGTGATCAGCTGTTGCTGAGTTGGCGAGATCGGTGTGCTGAGCTTGGTTCTTCGACTCTTCGAAAAGGACATGAGTTGCTCTGCAGAGGCCCGAGAGTGCGCTGTGTCCACTCAGCTACTAATAAGCTAAGAGCAGCTACTCTACCCTGACTCACACCCTAAGTTCTAAGCCCCTTGCTCTACTACACGTGTAACATGTCTCCACTGATAGTTGCTGAGTCTCCCGGCTACAACTTGCTGTCATGCCATCATGTCATGTGAAAGTCCTCATGAGGGTGCTGTAATGTTGCGGTCGGACTCAATCGGGACCGCCAACTGAAAAGCTTCAAGACACAGCAATGAGGCAAGACGGCTCCTGAATTGCGCTGCCACAGCTGCCACAACCAGGATTTCAGCTGCCGTCCTGTGTAGTAGTAGCACAAGTAGCAGTCGTAGTAGTAGTAGTAGTAGTAGTAGTAGTAGTAGTAGTAGTAGTAGTAGTAGTAGTAGTAGTAGTAGTAGTAGTAGTAGTAGTAGTAGCAGTAGTAGCAGGAGTAGTAGTAGTAGTAGTAGTAGCAGTGTAGTAGTAGTAGTAGTAGTAGTAGTAGTAGTAGTAGTAGTAGTAGTAGTAGTAGTAGTAGTATAGTAGTAGTAGTAGTAGAAGTATAGTAGTAGTAGTAGTAGTAGTAGTAGTAGTAGTAGTAGTAGTAGTAGTAGTAGTAGTAGTAGTAGTAGTAGTAGTAGTAGTAGTAGTAGTAGTAGTAGTAGTGCTAGCAGCAGTAGCAGCAGCAGTAGCAGTAGCAGTAGCAGTAGCAGGAGCAGTAGAAGTAGCAGTAGCGGTAGCGGTAGCGGCAGCGGCAGCAGCAGCAGCAGCAGCAGCAGAGCAGCAGCGGGAGCAGTCAGTAGCAGTAGCAGTCGTAGTAGCAGTAGCAGCATCCTGCAGCAGGACCCGCAGCAGCAGAAGCAGTAGCAGTAGCAGTACAAGTAGTAGCAGTACCAGCAGTAGCAGCTGCAGCAGCAGTCCTAGTACTAGCAGCAGCGCTAATAGCAGTAGCAGCAGCAGTAGCTGAGGTTTCAGGGTTTAGGGGGAGCATTTAAAGGGAGTTTTGGGTTCTGGCCCTGAATGAAGCCCCAACCGCAACCCTCATGCAGTGTCATGTAAGTGATCATGTCATGGGCAAGGGCATGCAACACAAGGACAACCTCAGAGCCAGGCGGAGTCCGAAGACCCCACCGGCCCCAAGTCCCACAAGCATGTGGAGCTCGCCAGCCTCGGAGCCAGGCGGAGTCCGAAGACCCCACCGGCCCCAAGTCCGGCAAGCACGTGGAGGCTGAGTCCGAAGACCCCACCGGCCCCAAGTCCGGCAAGCATGTGGAGCTCGCCAGCCTCGGAGCCAGGCGAAGTCCGAAGACCCCACCGGCCCCAAGTCTGGCAAGCACGTGGAGCTCGCCAGCCTCGGAGCCAGGCGGAGTCCGAAGACCCCACCGGCCCCAAGTCCGGCAAGCATGTGGAGCTCGCCAGCCTCGGAGCCAGGCGGAGTCCGAAGACCCCACCGGCCCCAAGTCCGGCAAGCACGTGGAGCTCGCCAGCCTCGGAGCCAGGCGGAGTCCGAAGACCCCACCGGCCCCAAGTCCGGCAAGCACGTGGAGCTCGCCAGCCTCGGAGCCAGGCGGAGTCCGAAGACCCCACCGGCCCCAAGTCCGGCAAGCGCTCGCCAGCCTCAGAGCCAGGCGGAGTCCGAAGACCCCACCGGCCCCAAGTCCGGCAAGCACGTGGAGCTCGCCAGCCTCGGAGCCAGGCGGAGTCCGAAGACCCCACCGGCCCCAAGTCCGGCAAGCACGTGGAGCTCGCCAGCCTCGGAGCCAGGCGGAGTCCGAAGACCCCACAGGCCCCGAGTCCGGCAAGCATGTGGAGCTCGCCAGCCTCCGAGCCAGGCAGAGTCCGAAGACCCCACCGGCCCAAAGTCCGGCAAGCAGCAACATGCATGCAAGAAGGAACTCTAAACCAGGACAGCTAGGCCTCCAGGCCAGCTAAGGCTGACCCGGAGTCCCAACTGCCACCCCCAACCCTTCTGAGGCCCCCGCACAGCGTGGCGGGACGTCGTTTCAGCTGCCGTCCTGTGCAGTAACACAAGTAGCAGTCGTAGTAGTAGTTGGCAGCAGCAGGAGCAGTAACAGTAGCAGTAGCAGTCGTGGTAGCAGTAACCTGCAGCAGGACCCGCAGCAGCAGAAGCAGTAGCAGTAGCAGGAGCAGTTCGCAGCAGCAGTAGCAGTACTAGGAGTAGCAGTACCAGCAGTAGCAGCTGCAGCAGCAGTCCTAGTAGTAGCAGCAGCGCTAATAGCAGTAGCAGCAGCAGTAGCTGAGGTTTCAGGGTTTAGGGGGAGCATTTAAAGGGAGTTTTGGGTTCTGGCCCTGAATGAACCCCAACCGCAACCCTCATGCAGTGTCATGTAAGTGATCATGTCATGGGCAAGGGCATGCAACACAAGGACAACCTCAGAGCCAGGCGGAGTCCGAAGACCCCACCGGCCCCGTCCCACAAGCATGTGGAGCTCGCCAGCCTCGGAGCCAGGCGGAGTCCGAAGACCCCACCGGCCCCAAGTCCGGCAAGCACGTGGAGCTCGCCAGCCTCGGAGCCAGGCGGAGTCCGAAGACCCCACCGGCCCCAAGTCCGGCAAGCGCTCGCCAGCCTCAGAGCCAGGCGGAGTCCGAAGACCCCACCGGCCCCAAGTCCGGCAAGCACGTGGAGCTCGCCAGCCTCGGAGCCAGGCGGAGTCCGAAGACCCCACCGGCCCCAAGTCCGGCAAGCGCTCGCCAACCTCAGAGCCAGGCGGAGTCCGAAGACCCCACCGGCCCCAAGTCCGGCAAGCACGTGGAGCTCGCCAGCCTCGGAGCCAGGCGGAGTCCGAAGACCCCACCGGCCCCAAGTCCGGCAAGCGCTCGCCAGCCTCGGAGCCAGGCTCGCCAGCCTCGGAGCCAGGCGGAGTCCGAAGACCCCACCGGCCCCAAGTCCGGCAAGCACGTGGAGCTCGCCAGCCTCCGAGCCAGGCAGAGTCCGAAGACCCCACCGGCCCAAAGTCCGGCAAGCAGCAACATGCATGCAAGAAGGAACTCTAAACCAGGACAGCTAGGCCTCCAGGCCAGCTGAGGCTGACCCGGAGTCCCAACTGCCACCCCCACAGCAGCTAGGCCTCCAGGCCAGCCGAAGCTGACCCGGAGTCCCAGCCACTGCCAACCCCAACCCCAACCCTTCTGAGGCCCCCGCGCAGCGTGGCGGTTTTAGGGGTTTGGGGTTTAGGGGTTTAGGGTTCTTTCGTGAGAAGGTTTGGGGGCCGGGCTTAAACTACCCTCAACCCTAAACTGCACAACCCCGAAACCCTAAAAAGTTACTCTGGGCTTTACATTCTTGGGAGAATCTGCTCAAAACCCCCCCACCCCAACGCCAAACCATGCCACACCCTAACCCCCTAAACCCTAACCCCCGAAACCCTAAACCCTAAGTCACAACTGCACCGTCGGCCTGGAAGGCTGAACTGGCCACCTGCCCCGGGTCAAGCTTGCTAGGGCAGCCTAAACCCGAAACCTAACCCCCTAAACCCTAAACCCCGAAACCCTAAACCCTAACCCCCGAAACCCCTTAAAAGCCCTTCGGAGCAGCCCGTCAACTCCGCTGAAGACGCCGATCCCAAACTACAGCCCCTAGACCTAGTGCTAAATACATATTTCAGTACATATCTACAACCTAGACGTGTAAGGCTAGGTGGCTGTAATCTTTATTATCCCCAAACCCACCCCCAAACCCTTATCACTAAAATGCTGGGTTGTTTTTACTTACTTGGATACAACTGCAGTAGCCCGGAGTCGGGTTTAAAGCGCAATTTACCAACGACCCCACACCAGTAAGCTTTATATTAAAATACTCCAAACCCAAGCCGCCCCACGGCAGTTAGGAAACCCCAAACCCTAAGCCCTGAAACCCTGAGCCCGTAAACCCTAAAGCCTGAAAGTCAACCCTCTCCGTCCGCCTCCAGCCAGCAGCCGCCGCGGAAATCGTGGGGATTCGTGGTGGGGAGAGTTTGATATCGTAGTATTTAAATTTAAACCTAGGCTATTTACTATTCAATGCGTGCAAGGTTTGCTTAAGAACTCGACGATGTGGAGCTTCATCCCTAATCCTCTAATCATCAGTTCATGAGGTTAGGCTTAAGATTAAGGGTTTGGGGGTGGGTTGTGCAGAGGTGTCATGTCATGCACATGTCAGCATTGAGCCTCACCTAAAATCCTAGACCCAACCCCTAAACAACCCCAAACCCTTAAGCCCTTAAGCCCAAACCCTTTTGGGGGTCCCTTGGCTCTTTAGCTCCTTGTTTAGTAGGGATTATCATCATCCATGGCACCTTAGCTCCTCCAATATCAGTAGTTTTGGGGGTCCCTTGGCTCTTCAGCTCCTGGTTTAATAGGGATTATCAGTGATTATCAGCATCCATGGCACCTTAGCTCCTCCAATATCAATAGTAAGTCAACCCGACAATCTACAGCCCTCCACCCCGCTAGCACCCCTTAGCTTAGCACCCCTTCTTTGATGCCCCGAGATCCGCATAGTATCAGCCCCTTGAACCCATGCTCGAAATAACGTTCAGAAAACCCCTTGTTGATAGCCTGACATAAATTGAATCGAATGCATGATTCCTAAGGAACAACCAGTTTATCACAACCCCTCGGACAAGCCTCGCTGACTTCGCACGGGATGGACACGTTCCGTGCAGTGGCCGATAACTCCGCCTCGCTCCCGCAACTTTGGGGTTTAGCACAGATGCATTGGGGAACTTGGCAGTCTTCTTCTTGGTGAAGCAAAGCGGTCTTAGGGTTTCAGGGTATCTTAGACATGAGGATTGAACATAGGGCTGTAGGGTGTATACTGTCGCAAGATGCAACGAAGATGCCGGAGTTTGATATCCAAGCTTCGAGAATTCTATCCTACTCTTGAGGCTTTCAGAGATTCCATAGTGTCTTTTCAGGAGCCTTCCTTCGACTCTGATCGGACCCGTTGCGGGTTCCTGGAAGCGGAGGAAATTGGTGCAATGAAGTCTTCCAGATCCTTCTAACGGGGGTCTCAGATATCCCTTGTTGGGCACCGCTTGGTCGGGAGTTCTCTCCATTGAGAGAGATTGTATGGACGCATCCAGGGTGCCGTGAAGTTGTCGCTCCAGATGATGCCATCGGTTGATTTGTAGACCCGCCAGGCACTGATCGGAGATCCTCCGATTGCTTTCTCCTCGTCAGGGGATCATCCAATGAAACAGTTTCTCGATGAATTCACCATTCATCCCCTTACGACCGTGGTTACCTTGCTGCTTGCGACTCAGTACGCCTCGCGATATTAAATCAGTCTTGCTGGCCCGTAAATGTTCCGAATATTGCTGTCATCACGACTTCTCATTGGTTTTGCTGTGAGTATGATGAGTGAGATAGCTGTTGATACTACTGCTTGGTCTTTGCTGATCTTGGCTTCAGCTCGAATTGCAGTTTCGATGGCCTTGGCTCTTGAAGCCTGCTACGATGGCATTGACACAATCCCCTACCAGAAAAAACGCTCCACACCGCCAGAGTTCAACTGTTGTTCGTTGGGTGTCTCCTTGGGAGTCTTCAATTTTAATCTTTGTACCCTACGGCCTGAACTCACAAAGCCCGAAGCTGCAACCACCCAAAGCTCCCCACAAAGTCTCGGTCCTCCTCGTCAGGCCAAGTCCACTGAGCTTTCAGGGAAGGCAGTCGCTCTGCCAGGGGGCTGCTAGGATTCCTGGCAGAGATGCAGGGGTTGAGGGACAGGGCTTAAGGTTTCGGATTCAGAGCTTAGGGTTGGTGGTCCCAGGATGTGGAGACCATCTGTGGAAGTTAATGACTGCAGATCAGGGGCAGGGGGGTGTCGTCATAGAGCCAGCCGCCGTAGCTGGGGATGCTCAGATACCTGAGGATCCGCGAATCATGCAACCGCACATGCCGTAAAGGTTCCTGGCACCTTCAACCCTGACATCCCGGAAACTCATCCAGCTCAAGAAATCTATGACGTTACTGCCGAGGTCCTAAACCCTCATTGCCCAATGGCATTAGCATGCTGTCTATACAGAGGTAGAGGTTGTATGTGCGTGCAGTATACATACATGTACCAGTACATATTTTCACATTATTAGCATATCCATGCTCTTCTCCTTATGAGCCCATTCTCAGACACCAGGCGCGGAGCGACTCCCTCAATAAATGGGAGTTTCCGAAAATCGGGGACGCCGGGATAGTACTCTAAATAGTAGGATCCTTATCATAAGGACCCCCCTAAAGCAAGGTATCCCTAATTTTCGGAAACTCCCCCAAATGTCTCGGAAGGTCAAAGCTGCATGCGGCCGTCGGCCCCCAAGCGCTCCTCGGTCACCTCGGGCCCATGCGTTTTAGCCATTTTTGTTACTTAGAGGATCAGGGGACTTAGTAAGAAAACCTAGGGTTCCTTTAAAGGGCTCCTTTAAAGGATCTACAAGGGTTCTTTGAGGGGTAGGTTACTTAGAGGATCATGGGACTTAGTAAGTAGGGTTCCTTAAAGGGCTTCTTAAAGGGATCTATAGGGTTCTTTAGAGGGGTCTATAGGGTTTAGGGTCTAGGGTCTACTTAGAGGATCATGGGACTTAGTAAGTAGGTTATAACTGGGGTTATAAGTCCCCTAAGTGGGGTTACCCTAATTAAAACCTAAGTCCCATGAGCCTTCAACTAGGGCTTGGGTATGGTTAGAAATAAGGGCCCCTGAATAAAAAGCATGTGGCTTAGGGATTATCTAGGTTCTATAGGGGCCTGAATAAACAGCATGTGGCTTAGGGATTATCTAGGAGCTATAGGGGAATATTTCTCTTCTAAAGAATTCCGACCTCTGCACGAAGCGATGCAAACACACCCCTTAACAAATCCTTCAAAGTAGGCTTCAACTCCGGAAACTCCGCCCGTGAGACGTGAGACCTCGAGGATGGTTCCCTGTGTCACCGTCACGAAGGGGAATAACCTCAGAGACTTCCAAGGGCTCATGTTCTGAGGGCTCCGGGCTCGGGGCTTTGGGAGCTTCGAGTTTGAGGGCTTCAGGGCGTCGGGCTTTGGGCTCAAGCTTTCTATCTTAAGCTCCTTGCACCCCGTAATTAGTAATGCCATACCCTAAGCCTCTACTTTGCAAACTTCGAGCTCCAGAGTCCCAACTCCTGCATGCCACCCCACAGCACTATCAGCCTATGAGTATGAGCCGCAGGATCTTTGATTTTTGGGGGAGCGCCAAATGATCTGAAATTCGCATTTCATGAAGTGTGGGGCGGAAGAACCGCGGCGAAGTGATGTCGGCATCTTCCCGGACGTCCACGGAGGCGACGGTCAGTTGATACCGCTGAGGGTACGGGCAAAGGGCCTTGCCTTGGACGGAAGGATGCTTCAGGGATGCGCGGAGGCTGTTTTTTCCGATTTACGCTGAGAGGTTGGAACGAAACGAACAAACTCTTGCCAACACCTCTATGTCTATGTCTATGTGGAGAGGTGTGCATCTGAAATCTTGACTGTATAAATACACTTACACTCTGGACAGTATCTCGTCTGTGTTTAGCACAAGCGTTATGTCTACTACATAGCATAGCATTTTTTACAACAGGTCCGGGCCACTGGTCCGCGCTACTAGTTTAGTCTACTACGGTATCTTTCTTTCGTAGGAAACCCAAGGTACTGGTGTACCAGGGGATCGTGCAGTCGTCCAGCACTGAGGCGACCGGCGCGGCACGAGGCTTTGAGGAAGGAACCAAAGACCTCGGAGGAAGTGAAATTCATGTTGTCGGGTTTTAGGGTTCATAGTTGCGGGGCCTGGAATGGTGATGTTTGAGATGTGTGGGGTTTCGCAGGCTAGCTTTAGGGATCAAGGTTGTTTCTGCCAGGGAAAGAGACCCGTGTGTGAGGCCCGCTTCGTATTGCTGCTGCCCCTTCTACATTGATCTCATGTCCTGGGAAAACCCTGGGTTGGAGCGACCAGCATTTTGTGCCAACCTGGCGCAGTGCAGCTGTACACAACAAAGGCAACAATGAAACAGCATACGAGTCGCAGTAGCAACTTGACCCAGCAGTCCCTAGGCAGAAAATCCTCTAAGCCAAAACCTATGCCCCAAACTGCCCCTAACCCCTTTGGAACCCTGAACTCTGCTCTCATGAAGCCCACCCCCCCTCCCCCTTCAAAAACAATCATCTTCGTTCAAGAAGACAAGCAGCTCCACCGCTGCATCTCCTTCACCGACCTCCGTGATGGCGGTGACCTTGTACCTTACGTGGAACTCCGGGGTTTCAGGAGTCAGGGCTCTATTCTCTTCAGGGTTCGGGTGGGACAAGGGTTCACAGTCTGCGAGCAGCTTATGTTCCTGTGCCCGGCGCACAGAATTTTACGTTGAGTCCACGCTGCTTGTAAGCTCTGCTGGGGACGATGTGATCTTGGCGGAATACACGGCGCTCCGGATCATCGATGACCTGCTGGGATGTCGCAGCCAAAGACTGAACCACAAAGACAATAACAGTAGTGATGATGAGAATGATGATGGTGGTGATGATGAGGATGCGACTGCTAGTGATGACCCAAATGAAAAACATGACGATCATGACAACCAGTACGACCATGAGGATTGCGACTGTTGGCCAACGACAGTGCTTGTTCAGGCACGGGAAATCCGCTGCCTTGCTCGTGGGTACAGCTGGCATGATGATTGCTATTGCGGCTGGTTGTCCATGTATCCTTGTTCTGCTCAGCTCCAATGCCAGTTTCGTGATATCGGCTTCAGTGCCTGCACTGCTTTCCGGTTGAAGGCATCAGGATGGAGGGACGCTTAGTCTGCGGAGTTGGGCCGATGTCGGATGGCCCCCCCTCCCCCGATCCAAAATGAAGGCTTCGGGTTTTCGGAGATCCGCCTCTGCCAGGTAGAAGATGTCCTTCGTGTCCAAGGAGTTCCCATCATCGACATACACCTTGTACCTTCGTACACGAACATCAACGGAATAAGCCGCGGAAGTACCCCGACCCCTGCGGTGCAGCCTTCTTTGCAAAAAGCCTACGATTCGGTTGATGCGGCAGGGCTTTGGGCTGCTTGTCACCGACCATTCGGGGCTCTCTAATTTCTCTAATTTTACGCGACGGTTTCGCCAGGCAATCCCACCTGGTGGCTCGTGGCAGCCCATGCTCGCAATCGCCCCCTCTCTGAAACCAAAACAGCCCTTCAACTTTGGGTCCAGAACTCCGTGCCCTGTGGCCCAGCGCCAACGCTACACTGACGCCATGAATTCAAAACCCCCGAGGCACTAAATCCGAAACTTCCTGAACAACTTTTAACGAGTCGATAATCCACCGCACTACAGCTCTACTAAACCCTAAACGTGAAAAGTCTGACTCAAACCAAGCTCAGGCACCCGAGCAGTACGGCCTCGTGGAGATCTGCTGGCTCCTCCCAAACCACCTCTTAGATGACAGCCAGGGTTTTTTTGCGGTGAAAACAAGGCTTGGTAGGGCTTTTTCATGTGCATAGCAACACCGCCTTGAACGGAGCAACGGTTCTGACTGTGCAAAGGCACTTCCCTGCTCATGAATGTCTGAGTTTCTCGCTCTTCGACCACACAGTCTTCGAAAACCTCCCCATTGACTCTGGATATCCTCAAGCCCAACATCCGTTCAGGCTCTGAAGCCATAAGTCGCAAGTGTCCACCGGGCCACGTACATGGATCCGGTGGCACCGCTAGAATCGAAGACGGTCATATTCATCGTCCTTCGGATGGATCCAGTTTCCCAAGTACAAGACCCCGAATAATTGTTTGTGCCAGAAGCTAGCAGCTAGCTCTAATAAACTTACCATGACCAGGCCTCTGTCGTAAGTCAGCCTTTAACTCGAGGGCTTCCAAACCCTTCGACTGTAACGACTGGGTTCCAATGTCCAGCCTGTGAAGCGATGTCAAGATCGGTACGATGTTGGCTACTGACGCTGCGGCCGTTGCAGCTAAGACCCCTACTATGAGTTTGGCCTTTGTGGTCACAATTTGTGCCAACCTGCTCGTCTTGCTATATCTTGCTTATGTGGAAGTTGCCTTGACTTGTTACTCGCACTAGAAGTTTCAGGGAGGTCGGCAGGTGCCGTTGCACGTTGGTGTGCCATTCTTGCTCCAGTACGAGCTGACACTTCGGAGGCACCACTACCAATACTCGCACCCGAGTAAAAGGAGCGATCCCCAGGAATGAAGCAGGTTCCTTTGCAGGCAGCCTTGCTTCTTTCTCGATCAGGAACTACCGACTATACCCCTCAAGTTTCTAAGCCCGAAGCCACCAAAACTTGGAATCCCAAGCCCAAGGGACAAATTCTGTGGCGCCGAGGGCGGCGACGAGCAGCGTTGTGAGATGGCGGTGGAGAGCGGACCTCCCCAGCTTCGATATAGGTATGTCTGAATGTAAGTGTGTATACTGCGGACTGAATATGTATAGACTTCACAGAAACGGGTTCAAGCAGAGCATTGCCTCATGTGCTCTTAGGCATCAACAGGTGCCTCGTCCCGCAGCACTCCGGGCGGCCACCTGCGCGCAACCACTCTGTCTGAGTCTGCGGTTTAGGGTTTACGGTACGGATTATGGTGTTTTCTTGAACGTCTTCCGTCACGGATTTTCGGATTCAGGACTCCGCGAGCGTGCTTCAGTCAGAAAGCCTGCTGACCGGTTTGGGATGCTGAAGCACGAGCACCGGTGTAAAGGTGTTCGGGGACGGTGTGCGAATCGGGAGACTAGAACTAGCTCAGTTCCTGATTGCAGTAAGACTTCCTGGGTTTTGAGATGGCCTTCAGCGGCTAGGGTTTGGGGTTGAGGGTTCAGGCTTAACGTGGTAGGACCTTGCTTGGGTTGCAGACTCCTCGACTTTCTTCTAGTGACTGGTAGTCGAAGCTGACACCTCAAACGGCCCCTGCCTACCCTACCCATCTATCTGTCTGCCTGTATGTATGTACTGTATATATATATATATATATATATACACATAGATACATATGTGTATACTGTATACACACAGACACACACACACACACACACACACACAAACCCAGTGCTCCATGGCATGCGGCAACAAAGTAAAACGGCAACCCAGAACCCTGGACTATAGCAGCCCTAACCCGGCCCAACAAGCGCTTCGAACAAGCCTTGAACCACAAAACCTGCTTTGTCCGGCTCTGGCCGGAGAGGAAAGCCGTAAGTGTGCAGTCCATGGTGTACCTTTCAGATTGGACGGGCTAGGGTACTAATGCTCAGGGGATTAAGCTTGAGAATTTTCAGTTTTGTAGGACTAGACTAGCATTTTGCAGTTTTTTCCGCAAGCTGCTTGCTGATCTTGCTGATCATGAGCAAAGCAAGACTCTTGTTGAACGCTTTTTCCAGGAGCAATGCTGTAGTTTGGGAATGCTTGGGCTGTTTCTAGGCTGCTCATCTACTCGATGCGCAGCATTCTGTGTAGTAGTTGCAGCTCGGAGCTTCGGCGTATGATCAGCCATAAACCGAAGAACCGACGGGCTCAGTCCTGTCACAATCAAGGAACAATGCTCTAGGCTCTCGTCAAGTCTCCCACCCAAACGCTCAACCCCAGGCCCTAGAACCCACACTGAAGGCGCAAACCTACAGCGCGGGAGCTGTAAGTCCCGGTTTTCAAGAAAAAACACAAACCAATCTTTGTGGTGACATGCTTTTACGACTACCCTGGATCTCCGAACCTAAACCCCGAAACCCCTCGAGCAAGCTAGGTCGCTCCGTCGTCTGCTCATCCTGCCATGTTGCGACATAGCCGGTGTCCTTCCGACGCGAGCAAAAGGCTTCGGTCTGGCTTTGACTGCACGACTACGACGCTTTGATGCAAACAACCATGGGGGGTTCCAAGGGCCCGGGTCACCATGGCCTTCGAGAGTCTTGGGATTCGATTTCAGGTTGAGTCTGTCCGGAAGCTTTCATACAGGATGACTTGCAGGATCAGCCCCGGACCCCCAAGCAGGGTGCAGCTCACCACAGCACTCTACTCAGGAGCTTCCCTGCTCCTCCACGTACGAGGGTGGGGCCTTCGATCTTTACAGAAGATGTCGGGCTTAGAATCCGGACTCAATTTTGCACGTGTGGGAATGAGGCACTACTGTCACAAGTTTCTAAAGGGATTTAGTCTTTATGGTGCTTCGAGGGCATCCGACAATCTTATTCTCGGTGACCCTGGCACTGTCCTCATTCGGCCAAGTCGTTCCATCAACTGACACGTAGAAGTAGTAGCCGGTGTGATAAGCTCCGCGCTCCTGACTGCATCAAACTCGGGGTGCATGCAGGAAACCGATCTCAGCATAGACGACGCTTCGGGGGACTGCTGAGGCATCATCTCGGTCATCGCATATGTTGGAGGCTCCTACAGTGGTGAACCTCATAGTCCGATATGAAGCCTCTCGGACTAGGTAGGACGCGATCCTTCTGACCATTCAAAGGCCATCGACACGGTCTCTACATTCTGCAAGAAGTGCAGCAACGGCTATCTTCACAATGACAAAATGCTAAATACAGCCAGAACATAACCATGCACCAAGTAACAGTACTCTGATGAACATACTGAGAGCAATGATGGACTTGGTAGCCATATGCGAAACTAGCTACAACAAGAACACCACCACCACCACCAACAACAACAACAACAAACACGCGAGAGCCCTTCCGCAGGTCTCCTTCGCCCGATCCAGCGACCACTCGACCACGACTTGGGTGTCCGTCGAGGAGCGAATACCTACGAGCAAGGCTGAGATGACATGGCTTCGAGTCACATTCGAGGAGATGGCCTTTCGGATGTTCAAGACTGCACTCATGAATGCTGTCCTCCTGTCGCGAGAGTGACGAGGAAGCTGATGGTGCCAGTGATTCTGGTGGTGGGTCGTCGCCGTCGTCGAAAATGTAACAGCAACAGCAGTAGTAGGACTAGTAGGTCTAGTAGGGGGAGGAGAGGAAGAAGGGGAATTAGATGCAGTTGACGATCTTGCGCTTGTAGTCTTGATGATAGTCGTCGTAGGAACAGCAAGCAGTAGTCAGTAGTCATGCTCGTCATCGGCGTGGTCGTCCTCGTTCTCCTCGTCAGTCGCCGTTGTCGTCTCTAGAAGTGAACGGCAATCAATAGGGCACTGGGCAAGAACAACAGTGGTGCTGAGACAGAGCGGGTCCGGCATGGAACTTGGAGAACATGGGGCTGAACATCTTCACTACATGCGTCATGCGAGGCCTTAAGGCGCCACTTCCTGTTTACGCGTCAAATCTGTCGGCTGGACTTTGCACCGACTTGCAGGGCTCTGATTGACGGCCTCTGGTCTGGAGAGGCATGCTGCCATTTGAAAACCAGCCGCTATGACAACAACAACGACGTACGCACAAGGAGTGCTAACGAGCCAAGTGCTGTTGGCTATACATCATGCTGCAGGGACGAGCCGTTCCTGAGTCCACCCTGTGTCTAGCTGCATTTCACCTGCACATGAACCGATAACTCTGCAATGCTGGGCCAAGCACTCCCAAACACCTGCAATGCTTGCAAACCTCAAGACGTTCCAAACAACCAACAACCTCTGCACACCAAAGACGCGGTATCCTGGTCCGAAGATCCAAAGGCCTCTCCTAGTTCGGACTTGCTTCCCGGGACCACCCGATCCAAACCCTGAAACCCCCCTGCATCACGAGCTGCTCAGCCGTGGCGGAAGGGGTGGCAGCGCAAGCTTGTCGAAGGTCAGAAACGGTGACATGGGGCTTTCGCCAACTTCCTTGGATCTTAGGACTGTGGCAGTTTTGGGCGCAGGGTTCACGGCATTGGCAGAGACATTCATGGTTCTGATAGTCGAAGTAATCGTCGTCGTCAGAGTACTAGGTAGCAGTAGTAGCAGCAGCAGGAGTAGTAGTAGTAGTAGTAGTAGTAGTAGTAGTCGTCGTCGTCGTCGTCGTCGTCGTCGTCGTCGTCGTACTGGTAGCGGTAGTACTGGTAGTACTGGTAGTGGCAGCAGCGGCAGTGGCAGTAGTAGTCGTCGTAGTCGCACTGGTCGTCGTCGAAGTACTGTAATTGTAACAGGAGGAGGAAGAGGACTAGGACAAGGACGAGGTCTATCACTGGGACTAGGACCAGCATCAGCAGCATCGGCCACACCAACGAAACGAGCCGACAACAGCAACTTCAGCCTGAATGTTAGCATCAACCCAAACATAACGGACGTGTTTGCAGGTCATCACTCCTCTAAACCCGAGTCCGCCCCAAGCTTGCGGAAAAGGCTCTGAGACTGCCCGAACCGAAAAGCGGCATGGCTGCGAGAGGTTCGCAGACACGTTCAGCCTTTGCTGCTGGCAGGGTCCGTGGTATGTTGCCCGTTCTGCAGTCAAGGGACAAAGGTTGGGTGTACTGCGAATATTTTGGAGGGTCTGGACCACCAGGCAGGTACCCATGGATTAGGAGCTAGGTGTCATTTTCGATGCAGGACTCGCAGGGGTACATCTAATGGGACTTGAAGTCAACACGGCCGTCCATAGAAGTGGCGTTCTGAAATTTGCAGCCCGACAGCAAGGTCACCGGCGCGGTGTACACACTCTCGGCACCCACCATGCCAGTACCTTTCGCCGGCTTTGGCAGAGGTGTTCGGGCCGTCGGCTTGGTGGCATTCTGACCGTACAGGACTGTGTGAGGACTAGCGCGCGGACAAGCACCCTAGAAACAGCTTGGCCGTGCATCACATGTATTTGATGCACGTTTGCATACGTACGCACAGGCCAAAGGATTCAACACCTATGCAGATGAGCGGGTGCATCCACTCATGTGTAATTACATACATAATAATTACATCTGAAGAGGTACAAATAATATGTAAATATGACTGAGTATGTATGACACATGTATAACACGTCTTCTCAAAGTCCATGCATGCATACGTACATCGCAGCTACAGTAAAGCCCATCCAATAGTTGTTATCCGCATATAATATGGCGGCCTTAATGGCTAGAATCGGGTTCTGGGGCGTATTATACTATAATTATAAGGAACCCCTAAACTAGTATAGGTAAGTATTAAGGCCTCTGTCTATATTGCTTTTCGTAGACGTGATACTTGCTCGTCGATTTACCACGGTTCTCTGCGGCTGAGACTCGGAAGCCGCCGGGAGAGCAAAGGGAGAACACCTCGGCTCTTCGTCGCTTTCTTGTTGGGGTGGAAGGCTTAGGGCTTAGGGTTGGGGCTTTGAGGATTACTGGGGCTTTCTGCTTTGGGGCCTGGGGCGTTGAGCGTGAACCCCGGTCTACCATCCTCTACCCCGAATCCACTAAACCCGAACCTCCCCTAGTAATCCCCCCCTGCCCTCCCTCCCCCCAACCAAGAACACGAATCTCCTCCCCACAAGAAAGCCGGCCCAGCCTTCACAGCCAGGAGCTTCGCACCATACAGTGCAGGCTCGGTCCAGCTCCTCCAAACTTCTCTTCGCTACGGATCCAGACATGCTTGGGTCCTTTAAACTTTAGATTCCTTTTGCAAAGATTTCCGTCACCTAGAAGTGTTTGTTGGGGCTTGCATGGATTTAGTGCTTCTCGAGACGGGAGGCTAATCTCTGTGTTCTGTGTCAGCTACTGAAAAGCAGGTTTAGAGCCTGGGGTCAATCTAATCTTGGGAGATCACCTGCCTAGGAACCCAGCTCTGCGGACGGCTTAGGCCTGCGGCAAATCTAAGCAAGACAGAGGCCATGTGTTGGACAGCCCGACGGTCTGCCATGTAAAATCTCCGGCTAGGAAGCTACACCCTGAAGGCATGCACCGATTTCCGATTTCCGGTGACATACCAAGTGTCTTTAAACGCTATGTACAGTACCTCAACCCGTATCCTCGTTTCAAAACCCTGAAGCCCTGAATTCCCCCCCCCCCCCTCCCCCACAACACCGGGTCATGACACTGTACGTCTTGAGTCCGAGGTAACTCTTTACACTGGAAGCCCTGAACGCGAGTGCAGTCTAGGCACAGCAGGGCATGATTGGCTTGCACCTCCTTGCTTGATGCCAGGGAACAAGAACCCACTCCTAAACTCCGTCTTCTAGCTGCGACGCGCACGGAACGGTAATGCTCTCCGTGGTTCTTGCGCTACTGATCCCGTCGAAAGCAGCTGAAAATGGGGGTTTCCGAACATAGGGGACCCCAATATAGTACCCCAAATAGAAGGATCCTTGTTATAAGGTACCCCTAATTTTCGGAAACTCCCAAATGCTAGCCGGCGAGCCTCTGCCAGGCCGTGAGCCCTGGGCCCCAAGCCTAAACCTCTACAGCCTAACCCAAGGCACGCAACTCCCAAACTCCGAGAACCCTGAACATTAAGTGCCTAGACCTATAAGCCCGTTGACCCAAACGTTAGTCTAATTGACCCCTCGTGATTTTGCAAGAATTGGAACGTGTGCTAAGAACCCTTCCACCCATTTGGGGTACGACTACTCGGCAGCCAAAGGCTCCACAAGCTGTGGGGCCACGGGTGTATCCGGCACCTGCACTTGCAGGGACATCTGTGTACGGGCTGACGAACAGCCTGGACATACCAAGCTTCTTCAGAAACCATGCTGATGCTGTTTGGAAGGCTTTGGGATTCACGGCTTGGGCTGCCAGAAACCTAATTCCCAAATGCCAAATCGAACAAGAGCTTTAAACCTGGGGGTGTCATGCAAAAGTCCTTCTAATCAGGATCCTACTACATACGAACCCGTCTTAGTTGCCAAGTCTCAAACAAACTCAGAGCAAAAAAGACACTGCCGAAGATCTTAGCAAATCATAAGAACAATGCCTGAAAGCCGGAAGCCTTTCAGCTTGATCTGACGCGCATGCCTTCTCTGCGGCTCCTTTCTCAACTCACGTACCGCATCAGCACGGGCTTGCGAGGTCATGCCCCAAAACACTTCATCCATTATCGTCATTAGAGGCCTTGGGAAGGCCTTGAGCCCTCCGCCGAAGCGCCCTCTCTTGCGAAGTGCGGTTTGCCTGGGAACACTTTCGGAAGACCGCATCGGAGAGCTCGCCGACCCCACCAGGAGTGACTGCGGCGACCCGGAACCTTCCACGGCAACAGCTGGCTTCGTAGAGCAGAGGGCTTTTAGATTTAGGGTTATCCTAACGGTTCAGGGCTTAAGGATCTTAAGAGTTGTGGGTTTAGGGGTTTGAAAAAACAGCAGCAGGGCTGAGGCTCAGCGCTTCTGCTTTTTTGAGTACCGATTCTCGCTACCAGTAGGTGTCGCTTGAGGTTTCCGGGCTTCTGTGCTTGGGTTCAAGATTTTTTGGGGCTTGCGGCTTGCGGGAGCAGACGCAAAGTGATAAGCACTAGAATGCCAAGCCGGATCTCTCAACCATAGAAACAAGACGTTGCGAACGGCAATCATCCTGGCCAAACGTCACAACAGCAGCAACAAACACGTTGAACAGTTTGTACATTCACTGGGGAGTTTTTTGTGCTTTCAACGGAAAAATCTCCTCCAGAAAAACCTCAAGAGCCTTGCAGGCAGGGAGCCACATGGCCTCCTGTGAACGCGACGTGCCGAACGCAGTGGAGTCCGTGCAGTTAACCTAGAACAGGCGCCAAAACTCTGCAACAGCTCCACAGGCATGGCTCATTAAGACTTTAGAGGCTTCGATGAGGTTTGACGACGCTCAATCAGACTGGCGGGGTGCGTATGTAGTCCAGAATCGAGAGTTCTTCGGGCTCCATGCGGAAACTCTTGCAAACACTACGGCGCATGCACCCTCGCGTCATAAATCATGAGCACAAGTGCTGCCAAGGCGTCGGCTTTTCATGTTTCGCAGGTTTCTTGGAAGGACTGGCTCAGCTGCGAGCAGGTTCTGCGGGCTCTGGGTTCCAAGGCTTCAGGCTCGAGGAATCTGTAGGTTTTGGCTAGCCGAGGCACGACGTAAGTGTTGACGGGGATGTAGCCGAAGGTCGGCTGGAGTGGGTCGAAGTAGTTCGTCCCATCGCGCCAGTCTGCAAATACGTGGTAACCTGGGATGAGCTCCGGGCTTCACATGTCATTGAGGAAGCTCCGGGGACTTCAAAAGTACGAACCTCAATTGCCCCAGAAGACGCTAGATTCAAGCACCCGTTATTTCAGCCGTCAGCCGTGCAGCCCATGAGTTCGTCGTCGTCGATCCCAGGCGACCAGGTCCAGGACAAAGAGACGAGCTCATTGGTGCTCCTCGGCAAGGCGCTTTGAGGCTCCCACGTTTGTGGTTTGGATTTGTGGACTTTGGACTTTCAGGGTTTCGGGGTTGCACTTGACAGCGCACGGCTCAGTGTTGCTCCTCGAGATGGCAAAAAATCTCGCCTGCCTAAACCCTGATGGAAAGCTGCAATCTCTGTGTGTGTGTGTGTGCCACAGCATGGCACACACACACACACCCCAAACAAGAAGATACCTAACGATATCTCCGGGCTTCTCGTACATCTTGAGGATGCATTGTGTCCATGACACTATTGCTACTCCTACTACTACCACGACGACGACGACGACTGCTGCTACTTCCTCCTGCTCCTGCTGCTACGACCACCACCGGAATTATGACAAGGGTGACGATTTCTCAACATTCTGATTTTTGAAACTTATATCTAAAAATCTCTATTACACTACCTCCGTGGCACTAAGCTGCCAGAAGCATAGTGTGTTGAACCCATCTCGTAGGCTTCCCATGGTGATTCTTTGTGCTTCCAAAGGCTCCAGTCAACCTGCAGCACCGGCTTGGGTGCTGCAGTGTTCGCTTGGGTGTACCTGAGTGGCAGGGTGCCAGGAACTTCTGCTCTGGGAAGCCTGACATGCTTCAAGGAGCTCTCTCGAATATCACAGGCAGGATCGGCAAACACTGCGGTTTCATAACCATCTCACCAACAACGAACTGATATCTTTCACACAAGAGCCAATCTCTGCTTTGCAAGAAGAGACTGTAATGGTACATATACAGGGTTGAAGTGCGAAACACCCCTCAGGTCCTGAACCCCAAATCTCCGTAAACCCTCAACCCTCAGCCCCAAACCCGAAGGTCCAGACTCCTACGCTTTCCCAAAATTCACACGACAGACCTGATCCAAGCGATCCATGGTGCGTTGGTTCGGACAGGTCCCCTGTGCCGGCCAGTGAGATCACGGCGTATTCGACAGAGATCGGGGTGCCGGGGGGCAAGTCCTTTGCTGGAGGGTTCGAGACTGTTGGGCTTAGCTTCGGGTTTTGGGATCAGGTGGCAGAGGCAGTGCTCAGCCTTGCAAGCAAGCAAGTCCTAGATCCTAAACCCGAAAGCCCCTAGTGGCGCTAGTTTCCCTTAGAGAATTCCTCGAAGCGTCAGGTGACTTTGCACATACAGTGTAACAAGAAAGGTAACTGTCGTTAATAGCTAAGTGTAACCCCAATTGCAGCGCTGATATCCCTAGAACTATTGGAACTACTCAGCAAGAAGCGACATCGGCCCACGGGCCCTTCAAAACCCTCTCGTAATGCCGATAAGCCTTTAAAAGAGTTCTTAGGAACCTTCGACGACGGAACCCTTGAAGCCCCTAGAGGAACCCTTTGAAAGGCACATGATCCCTTGACTTAATCAGTAATCAGGTCGAGGGACCGGAAAGGTGTATGAGGCGATGCTGGTGTCGGTGACGAGGGTCGTCTCTGGCTCCTCGCTGACGTCCAGCCTGAGATTGTGGGTTCAGGCTTTCAGTGAAGCGCGTTTGGGATTCACTGCTAACTATGGTGGAGTGGGCGGGGGGATGTCTACTCTGAACAAACCACTTCCCTTAGATGTGTTTTGGGTTACACTTTCAGGCTGTCGGGTGGAACTGTCAAGAATCTGCCCACCTCGTAAGCTGCAGCTGCCAGCCGCTGTGAAGAGCCACTGTCTCGGGGGTCTGTCCTGCTTACTCTTGGAGTGGCTATGGAAAGCCATAGGTAGGGTTACAAAGCAGCTATATTTGCTAAGCCCCCGGTAAGCCTACTTGTAGCCACTCATCAACCTCTACGACCTTGTTGTTCAGGCTCTGATATAGCCGGATGAGAACACGTCACAAGACCGTGAAAACGGGTCAAGGAACACCAAGCCGTACCGCGAAGAAGAAGCTTCCGGCCGGCGCAAAGGCTAAACGCTCTTTTCTTTCTGGCAAGTCCTGCAAGCGTCAACTCCACAGTGGCTGCAAACACGCCTGTCATGTCACGTCGGCCGCTGCGTAGAAGAGAGAGCCTTCGGAAACGTGAAGCTTCTGATCTTAGAAGATTCCTGAGGGGGCAAATCTGCACCACAGCCGCCCAAGTCTACTGTGGCGACTACATTACTGTAGGGATCGGAATGGCTGGAAAGAATGTTCCACATTCCCTCAGTTCCCTTATACTCCAGTGCAGGTATGGTACACATTGTACCACCCCATACCCTGTTCTTATCGTGAAAGTCCCTATGTTCTCGCTCTCTCTCTGCCCCCCCAGCTGCTCGAGCCGACTTCTACGCCGTAACACGGTTCCAGGCCGAGGCGCGCAGGCTTTGGTGGCGCCAGCGGCCTTGCAACAAAGGAGTATCGACTGAGTCAATAATCCCACAGGGTTGCCTAGGCCCAGACCGAAGGATACCCTGAAAGAAGACAGAAGCCCTTGAACGCCCGAACCAAAAATCCTAAACCTGCGAACCCGAACTTCGTCCTGAACCCTGAGGCTGTAAAACAGGAACAAGGAAAGGATCGCTTAAACATTCCATGGCCCCCATCTTGGCCCTGCTACCTTTAGCCGAAAAGATCGGGCTTAAAGCCCTATGGGACCAAAAAGGCCACCGCGCCTCGCCACGCACAAGAGCCGCGCTGTGGCAGAGTCGAAGCCTAGGCTCCAGGTGCCCGAGGAATCCACGGCCACCAGCTTGAAGTAAACCTGCAGGAACAGGAAAGCGTGACCACTTCGAGATTTAAGGCTTTAGAACGGCATAGCTGCAAGCAATATACATTCTAGGGCTTTGAGATGTATCGTAGAGTGTCTGCACAGCAATTTGTGCCCAAACCCCCAAACCTTAGCTTGATGCAACCCATAAGGACGATAGGGAAGAAAACATCGGATTTATCTCTGTATGCATGCATGCAGGTGTATATGTATGCTGTATGCATGTCATGGCTTGACATGTGTACGTGTGTGTGTGTAGCATATACATAAAATATGTTTACGCTTGGAGGGTGCTTGTGTGCGGATACATCTGTGTCTGTGCAGACTAGACTGCGAAAGGTCTGCGGCCGGTAATTACTCCCAGGTGTTATGTGACACAGGACATGTCAGGTCCGTGAACACGTCACCCCTAGCTCGTCAGTATCGCTGCTACTCTGTTCTGGATTTCTTCAATTTCTATCGTGACTTTTCATCAGGACGTAAGGCCTCGGGCGGCCATGTGCTCGAGTTGGTCTCGTTGCAGGCATAGGTGGTCTCCTGGCGTTTAGGGTTTCGGGGGTTCGGTTCTCGGTTCCCCAGTTGAGGTTTTGAGGCTGTGCGGCTTATGCCTTGGCCATGCCTTGGTGGAGGAGCCCGAGGAACCCCTTGTTGATACATGCCATGCTCCCTCTGGCTCGATGGCTCACCAGCTGTTTGTCTGTTTCGGGTTCGGCCATACGTGAGAAATTGAGTGCGGATTGAACCTGAACAAAACGGCTGCCATCAGCTCGAGCGTCGGGCCGTGCATTTACAGAGACGCTTGCCACTTCGAAGAACTCCGCATCGGCGCTCGGCGCGGCCAGAACGCGGAAGCTGTGGGTGAAAGGCTGCCAGGTGGCGTTGGGATGAGTGGACCAGCCTCGGTAACGGTAAGCCCCAAGCCTCGCATTCTTATCGCCTCTGTTGTTTGCTAAATGCGGCTGTTGCTTAGCTAAAAGAGCAGCTAAAAGAGCAGTGGAGCAAAGCAACTGCTAGACGCCGTGAACCCTCAAGCCCTTCCTTCAAAGGAGAGTACTTGCCAGACGCTTTTTGCAGCCAAGCCTCCCACCGTCGCCTCCGTGGTGGCCGGGTCGTAGTTGACGATGTAAGGGGCTGTGGGCCCCCAGGGTCGACCTCCAGGTCAAATATGTTGGCTTTAATTTTTTGACTAGAACTGGTTACTGGTGGCTTGAAACCAGACTTACGCACTGCAGTTCAGGGTCGCAACTTTCTTAGGAACCCCGGGCTCTACAAGCCTAAAACTCCTCAACCCGGGGCCCCAGGCAGATGACCATCTTCAACGCGCGCCTGTGGGAATAATCGAGGCAGCGGCTGAGAAGCTGCTGCAGGCAGCTGAGTCACAGGTCCGCACACGAAACTCCTGGGCCGTTCCGCTTCGGTGACAAGGGCTGCCAATTTTAAGGTGTAGGCAATAAACCCTAAACCCCAAACCTTTGAACCCGGAGACTCCGGTCGTCTGGGTCGGTCGTCGTGAGCTTTGCAGGATCGGGAGTTGGCTCGGTTCTCGGCCCAAAGTCGAGTCCGAGACCTCCCTGAATTCCAAAGCCCATAACTCCAAAAATCCTAAAGCCTTGTTGGACTGTGACAGGTGTCGTAGAGCTCCAGTGGGTCCAGCTCCGTGACGTCGATCTCTGCCAGGCCAGAAGTGAGTGAAAACGAAGTCTGCAATGCCACGTTGAGGACCTCAAGGGCTGTTGAAGGGAACTCCAGAAAGTTGGAATATGGTTTCAGGGTAGCATACCCTATAATTTACCATAGAAGGGTTAGGATAATCATACTCCAACTTTCTGGCTTTTACCTTACGGGTTCAGGAATCAGGAACTGGGGTCCACGGTAGAGGGCTCAGAGGATGCAGGGTTCAGGCTTTGGGGCATAAGCGGCTGCATCGCCACGACTAGCAAGAGCTTCGAGCTCACGACCACAAGTACCCTGCAAGCGGTCAGTGCGACGATTGTCATTCTTTCCACCCGCCTGTATCTCGTACCAGAAGTTGCAGGACACCATGGGGAGATCCTGCAAGAATCCGAGAAGACTGAAAGTTTGGAACTCGGAGCTGCGCCCAGCCCCATCTGCGAGGGATGGATGGCTTTCAACGGGTGCCCCTCTAAGGTGTCCTCATTTGATGGAGCTACTCTATCTTCGACTTGCATCTATGCCTGGCTTGTAGGTAGTATTACTATTTGTAATTACACTCCTGCAAGACTGCGCCTCCAAAGTTAGCAAAACCACTAAGACCTTGAAAAAGCTGCTACGGTTGAGGCGATGGTGGACTATTCTGTAACGGATTTTACCTGAGTAAGAAAGTTACCCTAAGCATATTGAAAAACAGTTTCTACTACAACCATACCAACTGATAGGCTTTCATCCATTACGAAATGTATAGCGATTTGTGGCTGGGTCCTGCCACGATAGGTGCACAGCGCCAGACCGCGCGCTCAGCATCAGATTGCCAGGCGCAGTGAGCGGCAGCGCGGCAATCCTTCGAGTAGCGGATAACAGCTCGCTGGCTTAGAGTTTATGCTCTCAGAAGTCCTTCGTCCGCTACCTTCAAACATTAACAGCCTGCACTATACTAGATATTATTCTAGATATTTTACTAACTACGTTACACTGAACAAGTTATGATTAACATTGTCAAATAATTACTGTAATCACACTATATACGCATGAGATTGCCTTACATCAGATATCAGATCGGCCCAGGCTCCAGCTTGTGTCGCTGAAGCTGCCGGCGCCACCAGAGCTGAGGCCGCGCACTCGGAACTGCGTGCAGAGCCGGGTCCTGGACCCGTCGGGGGCTGAGCCCGGAAAAGCCTTTCTTACCTGTGCCCTATGTGCCCTCAACCCATAAAGCTATCATACTCGTACATCCATAAGCCCGGAACCGATGAATGCTAAGCCCATGAAGGCCCATAAAGCTACTAACTTTGAACCATGGAGGAGATTGAGGCCGGGCTTTTAGCTTCGATCTGAAGCTCCATAAGTAGCCCACAGTCGGGATCAAGTATGTAGGGTTCTACGTAGGGATCTAATCAAGCTTCAGACCTCCAAAATCCTCAAAATTCACATCGTCTGCGACCAGGCCCGAAATCCCCAAATCCTAATGCTTTTAAAGAGCTGGTAAATTTACACTGTGACACGTCAAGCCGGGGCTCATGTTGTTCCCGTCGGGGAAGAAAGAGGAGAGCGGAATCCTCAGATCTCAGATTCCGCCGTCTGCTTCGGCTTGCGGATCTCCAAGTCTCTCTCATCTAAAGTGTTGTAGTATAGGTGTTATTGCTGTTATTGATCACGCGCGGTTCGCCGTCATTTCGAGTTTTCACTGCGGCGGGTATCTCCACAGTTCATTGTCGACTTGTCCGACTGCTTCGCGGTAGCAGTGCCTCACCGCGGTGGTATCTTTGGTGCTTGCGGTCGCTGTGCTGCGTCGTGCGGCTGTCTCACTGTTGCACCCGAGCGCAGCCACCACCCGAAGCTGTGACCTTTTCGCGTCGTCGTTTGCTGCTTGTTTTCTTCTGCTGTGTTTGTTGCCTGCTGGCCAGGGGGTGACACTTGATGTTCAGCCAGGCGCGTGCCCTGCTCCCCAGTTCTCCTCTCAACTCAAACTTCACTCACATCTAAACCGCACATTCCTGAGCCCACACACCTACCGTTCGGCAGCTGCACTCACGATGCTGCATCTTGGCAGACTGGAGCCAGGTCCAAAAACCTTAAGCAGTTGAGCCCTGAACCTTTTTGAATCCCAACAAGATACGATATTACAAAGAAGCAGAGTCAGGCAATCAACCAACAACAGCTGCGAAGCTCTAAAACCGATGCGGTGTAAGCCCTAAGTTTTAAATCCTCAACCCTAAGCCCTTGCATCTTAGCGAGGCTGCTCGGCCATGGGAAGGCTGCCAGAGTAAAGGAGCTGATCCGGAAGGCTGCCCGATCCTGGGTTAGGCTTAGGGACGCATCATATTGGAGCCTGAATAGTTTTCAAAAGAGCTTTGGGGTCTGGTATATCATAACTATAGAGGGAAGATGACTGTTGCTGCATATCCCAACCCCCCGCCATGGTATACCCAGTCTCTTAAGGATCCAGAAGACGGCATCCCTGAAAGGTATCCTACTCGTACCATTAACGGGGTTCAGGTAGGGTTCGAAGGGTCCGGGGTAGGATTTTCCGCCTGGTCTATAGGCAATGAGGTCCAGGTTACTCACTTCAATTTTAAGCATGGTGTTTGGCGGGTTCCCCCACGGCTCTAAGCTTTGGCTTGGGTTTGGGGGTTCAGATCAGAGGGCTTAGGGCGCAGAAGCAGAACTACAAACAGAATACTGATCTGACATGGGAGTGTGAGAGAATCTTCAATAAACCCAAACATCCACCAACAAGTAGAATTTCTAACGGGATCATGGTCATTCACAAAGACCAACAGAAGCCAGGAGTCCGGCATCCCAGTAGAGCTCGTAGGCTGAGGCCTCCTGGAACAGCCAGCGGTGGTTGCGGGGCTTTGGCGGGGCTTTGGCGGGGCTTTGGCGGGTAAGGGTTTTGGGATCAGACATTTTGGAGTCTTGGGTGTTCGGGCATTTGGTTGTGAGGGGGGTTAGTAGTCTCACCTTCTTGGACTTTTGAATTCTGGTTCAGAAACATCAGACCTGCAAGCTCCAGCGCGCAACCCATTTAGGAGGCCTCAGGCTAGTACCGGATAGCGGGTCTGGCCCGCCTGCAAACCATCTCGACCCTGAAGCCAAACACCAGTCCCGAAACTAAAACCCTAGAAAACACAACCCAGGAGATGCAATCAAGCTGCGGACGCTTGCCGGGCAAACCTTAGCTTCGAAGGTCGGGGACTGGTCTAGGCTTAGGACATTCCTTGAGGTTTTCAGTCTGGGGCTTTGGGATTTGGGTTGAGTGTGTACAGTGGTTGGATTCGGGGCTCCTCTGCATAAGGCGCCCCTCGTGAATTTCAACACCATGCAGAAATGCCGTAGTCACACACGTATGAAGCAGCCTGAGTGCTAGTGCCCTTGCGTCATGGTTATTCGTGCTTTAGCGAAAACGAAAAGCATAATTCACAGCGATGAGCAGAAAACAACAAACCAAGCAGACCCCGAAGGCTAACAAACCGACAGAGGAAGCGCAACCTTGTAGACATATCCTTTCAACACCCGACGGAGCGCCTAAAGACGAAACCCTACAAACCCATGAGGTCTACGAACCTCACCCCTGAAGCCTTGCATGCTCGAACTTAGCCCTAACTACGCCCTGCTTGTTAACCGTGTTCGAGAAGCTGGGCTTGCAATGCTCGGCACGCAGGCAATGCTCCATTGCAGTTCAGCTCACGCAGCATCGGCGGTGCCCAGAACAGAAAAACACCTTCAGGGTTCTCTGCAGGCTTACCAATAGAGGGTTTCGTCGGTTTTTCTAGGGTATTTGACCCAATAGGGTTGTTCTTGGGGCAGGGATGGCTCAAACCCAAAAGTTCCAGAGATAAAACCCTTATGCTGCAACGGCCCATGAAATCCTGAGCAGGCCCGATTTAACATGCTCTATAGATAACCACGCAAAACCCCAGAGAACCCTATAAAATCCTTTTCACGTCTTCGTCAAGGCTGTCAGCACTCTGCAAAGTTCCGTCAAGACTCCGCAAAGTTCCATGAATTAGCAAAGGGCCTGTTTCCGACACGTTGTCGAGCTCGGGGGCGCCTGGAGCACCTGGGTAGCGTGGGCCAAAAAATAATGAGCTTGAAGCGTCTTCTCACGGGGCTTGAAGCAATAACACAGGGGCCTTAATAATTAGAATAGGGTTTGGCGGCCCATTATACTATAGGGGGTTGAAGCAGTGTGGCTTACATGGGCTTGCCTCTTATGGCTCTGCCTCAGTGTGTATGGCGTTATGGGGCTTTGGTGGCATGGCTTTGCGGGGCGATGCACGGGTGCTATAGGTCTGCGTTGGGGTGTTTTTGGGCTCTCCGGGCTCAGGTTTGGGGCTTTCGGGTTTGGGGTTTAGAGAATAGAAAGTGTTGGGTTGAGGGGCTGGCGGTGTGAATTCAGGGGCTTAGCGGCTTCTGGGATTGTCTTTCTGCCCTCACCTGGCGGACCAGATGTCGCCAAGTCCAATGCTGCACTGCGATTTCCATCGAACTCCTGAAGTGGGCAGAGTCGAGGGCTTGATGGGCTTCATCGGTGCATAGCGTGTCAGAGGGTTTCAGCGATCAGAAAGTTTTATGACGGGACTTGACAGGTTTAGGCTTTGGGGATAGCACGGTTTAGGGTTTAAGGTTGCGGGCAGCATCGGAACAAAATGCCCACGCCGGTAGAAGCAGATGGCAGTATTGCTGAACCTCACACTGAAGCGCCATTGTACCAAAAGGCTCGGAAAGCAACCTCAAGCTAGAAAATGGGCAGATAAAGGGGGATCGGTCCTTAGTGCCGCGAGCTCTAGCGGTCCGCAGTCCACAAAGAATGTTTGCTTGTTGCTTTTGACCGACAAGCAAAAGTTAATAGTGCCAAATTATCAACATAGTACCCTTTGTACGAGACTTAAACGTGATTACAATGTCCGAAGATCACCTGAGCAGAAGAAACCACGGACAGTAATCATACTCATAACTAGTAACTAGTATAGTGGTATCAGATATGACGCTCGCCATAAACCCTATCGATGCTGACAATGAAAGTGAGAGGTCACATCGCATACAAGTTTCGGCCTTGACTCCGCAAACCTGGATCCCCGAAGTTTCTGCTGGGCCGGGGACCTCGTTGAGGCTCAGGGCTTTTAAGCTTTTGAAGTCTTGAGATCTTAGGTTCCAAGCTGTAAGGTTCTTTTCTTATGATATGACCCAACTGACACTAAATAACCGATAGCTCTACCTACAATATCCAGGAGCCTTCTCAAACCTGTCCGATTTTGCAAGCGAGGAATACCTGCATCCAGTAAGTTATACATTTCGAATCAGCTTTGTCCGGTCCGCCTGGTTCCTGGCATTGACGGAGAAAAGAAACTGTGAGCTGAACCTGTCGCTGGATGAAGGCTCTGTAGTAGAGTGTCTTCAGGGCCTTATTTCATATGGATTTGACAGGGAGGTTCAGGCTGTAGGATTCGGATTTGAATCTCACGGCCTTGGGGCAAGTATCTGGGATTTGCTGCCGGGTCTCTTCAGGTTTTGTGGCAGCTTACAGAGTAGTTATGTCACATCCCTCGAATTTGCGGCTCACAAGCATCGTTGAATTGGGAACCTTCCTGTCGAACCCTCGTACAGGCCCAGCGTGTTCTGAGCCTGCCCTCTCTACTCCTTCTCTTGCATCGGATTGGAAGCCTTCCGTAATCTACATGTGAGCCGTCAGAGATGCAGTCTTGGGCTTGAAAAAGAGTCAGACCAAGCTCTCCTACAACAAGCTACTAGTAGATCAAGAAGCCCCACCAGCCAAAGCTAGAATCCCCAATCTGACTTGAATTCCCTTAACGTAGACACCGAGGAGCACATCGGGAAGATCCACTTCCATTTGCGTCTGCTCCCCTGGAACTTCGGCGATCCTTTGGGGAGGCGCCTCTGGCAGCTGCAGCCAGAGCACATACCCCACGATGCCTTGAAAGCAGAGCAAAGTCAAAGTGGCTTGAGGTTTCTGAAGGTTGTGAGGGGTGCAGGTTAGTCTAACGGTTAGTCCTCCTTCTTCGGCTGAGACAGAGTGTCAAGCGGGAGCATTTCGTTCGCTGCGTCCTAGCACGAGCTATACGCTACACTCCAACTTGTGTGGGCCACAACAGGATTTCCAAGCTGAGGCACGTAGGTGGTCTTGCACGCCAAAGCCACCTCCGAGATCCTGCACGGAAGAGGGGTTTCGTCGTTCAAGCTTGAGGCGCTGACGCTGCTATTGAAGCAGATGATGGTGGCGGTGATGATAAGCGACCGCTGTTGTTGATGATGCCGGCGCTGGTCGCGAGAGAGGCGGAGCTGATGATGTGATGGCAACAGCGTAAATCCATAGTCACGCACACTGCTCTTTCGCAGCGATTGATACAGTCACATCCTGGGTCTGGTCGTCATCATCAACGTCATGGGCATGTTAACAGCGAGGTGGTTATTGTGGTGGTTGCGTGCATGTGTGCTGTAATGTCTTATGTTCTGCTAGAATCGTTCACGGATACCTACCTAGCTATTCTATTCTTGTATTACATATACACACATATGAGTACAGAGACGTTAGAAGTTCCAAAGCCCAAGGCCTCCGGGGCAGACCAGGTCAAATACGGCCGGAGTCCGCCAGCGTTCCAAGCAGACTCAAGGCCTCTTCGGGAGTTACTCGATTTTGTAAGGCGTAAGGCCGTATCAAAGTGTTTGTTCGTGGTTTGCAAGCCTGCACTGTTTACGGTCTGGGTGCGGAGTTTCGGGCCCGGGTGTCATTTATAGCAGCAATGGCCCAGCAGCGGCGGCCAACAACACCGTACAGTAACCACTACAGTAGCACCTGGGCGGGCTGGGACGATGCGGACAAATCCACCTGCAATCACCTTTGCTTGTGCGATGGTTTCGGCCGTGGCTTTGGAATTTTGGGTCTAGTGATGCTGTCCGGCTGCAACCAGCTCAAAAAGTGCCGCCTCCTTTTCTCACATCTTCTGTGCGCTTGAATTGGCGCCGTATCTGAATTATCTCCTGCAGTGCACCCAGAGTAATGCCTGTAGTGCTGGGGACTTTCATGGCGTTTCTCCGCACACCCAAAGCCCTAAAACCGTACAGAGACAAACCCAGAGGCCGAAGCCCCTTGGACCCCTAAGGCCTGAAGGTGGCCCCGGTGGCTCGCAGGCGAAGAAGCCCGCCTAGCCGACCACGCTTCAAGAGCTTAGGGTTGCAGCACCGAAAGGTTGCAAGTGATCAGTCGCACCCGGGAAAATCGAAACCCTACACCCGAAAACCGCCCTCAACAACAGATCCTCCTTAAGCCAACACCCGGCGGAGGGTTCTGGATTCACGACTGGACGATTTTCGCGTCCAGCGTATTGCTTGTCCTAAAGCTCTGTGGCCGCCGCCAAGGTTCGGGAACGTGTGGTCATAGTTCTGGATTGTGTATGCATATATATATATACACACACACATATATATATATATATATATGTATATGTTTGCTTGCACACGTGCTACATCGACAGAGGCAGGATCCGTTTCCATCCAGTCCTAGGTGCAACAAACAACGCTCGTGTATCTGCATACATGTTCTATCACGCGACAACCTCTCCCTCCCAAACAGTCGCCTCATAACTGCATGGGCAAACAGATTTTAAGTTTGTTCAACCACTTTACATGTTTGGAATGCAAAGAAACTCTTGCACAGACTCTTTCTCCCTCTCTCTCGCTCTCTGTCTCCCTGTCTCTCTCACCCTCTCAGCCTGCCTCTCTCTCTCTCTATCCTGCTTTGTTTTTTGTTTTTTCCTCTCTCTCTCTCTCTCTCTCTCTCTCTCTCTCTCTCGGACCGACAGACGGACGGACGGACGAGCGCGATAGCACAAACACACAAACACACTGACACGACCCGGAACTGTGACAGTCTTTCAGCCCGACGCACAAAGTCGGCGTCCCCGAACATCCGAGGAACGCCGTAGAAAGAGCAAAGACAATCCCTCGCAGAAAGCCCTACGTTTCGGTCTGTTGAAGTCTAGAAGGGGCTGAGGGATGCACAGCCTCCTCCGAAGAACCCAAGCCTCTGCCCGAAATCCCCGGGACCGAACCCGAAAGCCTCTGGGCTCCAGGGAGACCAGCCCTCCAGCGTTGCCACGCGCAAGCGCACGCGATAGCGACCGCCGGGGACTAAGCCTGCGCCCCGAGTGTACGAGGGGAGTGCAGCCTTCGGGTTGCAGGACTTTTTGACGAAGGGCCAAAGGGGGCCAAAGAGGGCCCGAGCCCAAAACCCCTGTAAGCCTACGTGAAGGTGAACCCCCAAATGGACCTTTCAACTCCTAAGCTGCTAAGCTCCATGCCCAAGCCCGAAGCATTATGATCATAGTCACGAGAGCCCTGCAGCGCCCCCCCCCCCCCCCCCACCCTCTTAAGACACCCCGTCGGGCCCGTCAGTTCGTAGCTGGTGTAAGCAGCCGGAAGAATGAGGGAGGACGTCCAGTTGGGCCCATAGCCGTCCTTCGCTTGGTAGGGGCTTGCAGGCTCCAGGGTTGAGGTTTTTAGCTTCTTAGTGGTTAAAGCTTATGTGTTTCCAGGCTGCTCTCACAACAAGGTTTCAATGTAGAGTTAAGGGCGCATAGCATGGGTGTGAGTTCTTGTAGTTTGGAGTTCATTGCTCAAAGGACTTAAAGCACCACGCCAGTTTGGTTATGGAGGACCCTTAGCAAACAACATCAAGTCGAGAGCCACACTGCCAGCCAAACAGGAGCGGGGCTGAAGAGTAAGGGTTGCACGGAAAATCTGCCTATGCAGAGTGCAAGCCCCTGCCAGATTTTGATCGGGTTGCATGCTACTTTTTGGTCCCCACACCCCAAAAAAGAAGGATCCAACAGGGCATACTAGTCTAGCGAACTGCCCGGATCCGAGAATCGTCATACTCCAGCTCGTAGAACTGAAGCGGCGACGGCGAAGGGCTAGGCGGCGTCCACTGCAGAGCGAGGGTGGAGCCTTAGCTTGGAGTTCCAAGGCTGCTAAAATACGAGCTGTCCAACACCACACCCCTAACATACCGGAATACAAGATCCCAAGATCTCCGAGCCATACAGACCATGGTGCCGCTTGAAGATCCCACTAGAAACGTAGAGCAATTACATGGAAAGCCCGTTTCAAGAGTCCATGCTTGAATCTATCCTGACCTCAGCCGTGACCCCGACCTGGATTAATCTTGCAGCCTCCTTCGTCATTGGTCCAGCAAGATTTAGCCCAGGGAGCCCAATGCCCCTTCAGGAGTGGGCAAGAGGCTCCGGAGCTCTCATGGGCCTGAAGAATTAGAACAGGGCTGGGGGGGCTTTGCGTACAAAACGATACTGGGGAACCTCCAGGGGAAACTACCCAGAGACTCCAATATCCCTTAATTAAGGAATATACCTTAAATTATAGTAGGATCCTTAATATGACTTAAGGAATATTCCCTAATTAAGGGGTATCAGGCCCCTTCTTTCTTCAAGTCCAGGGATCGATTCGGAAGAACTCCCGAATCTCTCTGAGGGGGCTCCACGTCCAGCGGAACGACCTCCCCGGGACTGTCTTCTCTTGCATGTTTTGAGAGGCCTCTTCCTGCTGCTTAGTCGGCAGACCACCACTCTACTCTTTGTCGGGTTTCAGAGTGAGCACCTTGCGCAATAACAGGTACAGTCGCAGTCAGTTTGAATGGATATTGTGCGGTTTGAGATTTGCTTGGGGCTAATTGCCACCCCGACATCTCAGAGCCCCGAGCCTCAAGCCCTCAAATAGAAAGGTCTTCTACATTCCTATCAAGCTTTTGCCACACACACACACACAGCAAGCTCTGACAAGTCTTACAAAAAACACTCCCATTTGCTCAGATTCTCAGATGCAAGCTTGAAAGCCAAAAAAAACCCTCCCGACCTGATCCCCAATGAGGCTGAGGTTGGCGAATTCGTCGGAATCCTCGGCCTCACACCCCGCTCGTTCGTGGGGGCGTGTAGGGTTCTACTTGGAGGTTCATGGGTGGTTATAAGTAGGGTTGTAAGTCCCCCAATAGCTTATAACTATAGTTACCCTACTTATAACCCCACTTCTAACTACCCATGACCCTCCAAGTAGGGCTTCTCGGGTTTAGGGGATTTGGATAACATAGGGGCCTTAATAATTAGAATAGGGTTTTGGGGCCCATAATACTACACATATAATAAGGAACCCTAACAACAGTATAGGTAATCATTTAGGCCCCTATACTAGGGCTTCTCGGGTTTAGGGGAATTCGGATATGCACTTAGAGTCTAGAGTTAAGGGCGTTTGTTGGCCTCACGGCAAGGACGGACTGCCTTGTTCACCATCACCTCTGAGGCCCCAGCAACTGTCGCGGCCGCTGCGGGTGCCAACGCCCTAGCAGATCGAGGGTATTTTTCGGTATTTTTGAAAGTCTTTTGAAACGGATATTGCCAGGTAAGCCCTAAACAGAACAAGCAAAGCCATGGTCTCAGGTGAACCGCACACATCAGACATCCTAATCTTGTTTGCCGACCTTACGCCTGCAGAGATCCGGATCGCACAACCCTAAATCCATGGGTAGTCATAACCTGAACATTTCTTCGAAAGCCTCGAAACTGTCCTGTGTCCATGCTTTGTTGCGCACGATGTGCTTCGGGATTGGGGCACGTTCGGTGCGGTAAGTTTGGTCGTCAGTAAGAATAAGTATGACCAGCCCCAAGTAGGAGACTTAAGCCCCAATATGAGCGAAGCCAAATCCCTCGAGTACAGCTCTACAATCTCGTACGCATGCACCTGAAGAGGAAGATGAGCTGCCAAAGGGCCATCATGCTTCCTGCAACTTCAGATGCAAGATTCGGGGTTGTCCGACAAGAAGAGTGTGGCTTAGATTTCTGGGGCTTCAACGTCGACGAAAGGTCACATGCTATAAAGGTGATATCCACTGCATGATGATAAGGACTATCATCATGTCGGTCTAGCGGCAACAGCAACTAACAACGTAAGACTCGGCGTGGAGTTATTTCGCATCTGAGCCAGTCCAACACCCCAGATCCCACATCGTAGCTCACCGGCTGCTCGCTTCCATTGTGCCGTCTGGGGCAGAATGTCGCTCCTGCTATGTCGGTTGTTGGCACATCCATCTAGCAAGGTGTTGGCCAATACAGGCGAATACGCTACGTGGCCTTCAGCTGATCCCACACAGCCTGGCTGTCGCCACCACAACCAGCGTGACCCCATGTCACGATAGATCCATCGTCAAGAGCCGCTGCAAAAGCTTTTCGGGAAGCCTGGATCTGCTGCACATTCTTCAGCTGGCGCTGCACCGAGCTGCTGTCACCACCGGAGCGAGGATCACCCCAGGTCACAACGGATCCATCGCCGAGAACGGCAGCAAAGGCGCTGATAGAGGCTTGGATCTGCCGGACATTCTTCTTCAGCTGATCCTGCACAGCAGCACTGTCACCACCAATTCTAGGATCACCCCAGGTCACGACAGATCCATCTCCGAGAATGGCAGCAAAGGCCCCGTGAGCGGCTTGGATCTGCTGCACATTCTTTAGCTGATCCTGCACGACACTACTGTCACCACCAAAGCAAGCATGACCCCAAGTCACGACAGATCCATCGCAAAGAACCGCCGCGAAGGCATATGTCGAGGCTTGAATCTGCTGCACACACTTGAGCTGATCCTTCGAAGCACTGTTGCCACCGGAACCAGGTTCCCCCCAGGACACGACAGAACCAGAGCCAAGCACTGCAGCAAAGGCACCACCGGCACATGCTTGGACATGCTGCGCAGTCTTTAGCTGATCCAGTTCAGCACCACAGTCGCCAAAATAGTCAGAACGACCCCAGCTCACGACGGATCCATCGCTGAGGATGGCAGCGAAACCGTCTGTGGAGGCTTGGATTTGCCTCACGTCGTTCAGTTGGTCCTGCACCACACTGCTGTCACCACCCGAGCTAGGGGCACCCCACGTCACGACAGACCCATTTCCGAGAATGGCCGCAAAGGCGGCCGCAGACGCCTGGATGTGTTTCACGTCCTGTAGCTGATGCTGTACCGCACTGCTGTCACCGCCAGAGCGAAAATCACCCCAGGCCACGACAGATCCATCCTCAAGAATGGCCGCAAAACTGTTCTGGGAGGCTTGGATCTGCTGGACATTCTTGAGCTGATGCCGGACAGCAGTGCTGTCGCCACCAGAGCGAGCATTGCCCCAAGTGACAACAGACCCATCATCCAGAACTGCTGCGAAAGCTGTTTGGGAAGCCTGGATCTGCTGCACATTCTTCAGCTGGCGCTGCACCGAGCTGCTGTCACCACCGGAGCGAGGATCACCCCAGGTCACAGCGGATCCATCGCCGAGAACGGCAGCGAAACTAGTTGCTGTTCCTTGTATTTGAACTCTGTTTACATGCAGCATCAACGTATCACCACTCTGCAGCCTGGAATTCTTGATCTGGGCATATCCATCCAGAACGCCTCCGGATGAGTCCACCAGCCGACTTCTCCCGACTCCGAGTGCAGTCTGTGCCCGACTTGTCAGGCTTCTCACCTCTTCCTCCAAGCCTGCGCTGAGAGTAGCTGTCCGTCCACTAAGCAGTCCAACTTCCACAGTAATCGACATGGATCAAACAACGGTGCGGTAGGAGGTTCTGGGTTTACAGCTACACAGCTACATCCAGGACCGTCGATGTCCATCTTCGTTACACAGCCTAGGACCATCGTTTTGATTGGGCCCAAGGTCGAATGCCTGAGCCCGGCATGAGGATAAGGAAGCAAACTAGACAAGGGTCTCGACGGTGCCCGTCGAGGTTCATCGGATTCTCTGGTGATTCCATTTGAGGTCTAGGATGAGTGAATAGACGGAGTCTGTGAATGAAAGGGCGTCCTGCAGCTTCGAGAGCCTAACTCCTGTCTGACAGGAGAACCAAGAGGTGCATCACATGTACGGGCTTTCTCCGTTGCCTTCTCGGCTCCGTGAGTCCTAAGCCCAAAAAATCTTTAAAAAACGCACAGAGCAAGCCGGCCAAAGTCTCGTGGCTTCGGACTGAGCAGAGTCCTCGGCATGGTGCGAATCGGACCTTGGAGCGGGGATTTCAAGCTCAGGGTTTGGGAATCGAAGTTGAAGGCCTTTAGGCTTCAGGGTATGGTTGAAGGTCCATCCATGGGCTCGGCTTGAGGTCAGCATCCCCTCAGGCTCTTCGGGGCATCCGAGTGCACTGTGGGTTACATCCCCTGTCGGGTTCCGGGCTCTGTGGAGCCTTGCAAGTCTGAGGCCAGCACGATGCCGACATCGAGCATTCGCCAGGCCCATGTGGCTAATCCATCTCTGCGCTCAAACCGTTCAAAGCTCTATTTTCAGTCAGATGCTGCTCCATAGGGGTGCAAACGTTGCAGGGTGTTAGGAGGGCTAAAGGCACTTCAGACCCATGGGGGGGCTTCTGACAAAGCATGCTTGGTCGCCACCCCTCGAGGTTCTGGGGTTTTTAAGGGGTGCAAGCTTAGGGTTGAGAGGTTCAGGGTTCGCGGCTCAGCGTTCCGTCCTTCGTGATGTTCGATAGTAAAAGGTCTGCGAATAGGCAAGACAAGGTCGGCAAAGCCCAAGTGCATCCAGGTTTCATGATCCCGCCAAGAGACGCTCATGCCGGAAGCATGTCCGGCTTGTCAGAAGCATAACTGGTCCGAACTATGGTCCGAACCATGGCACCCTTTGGCTCCAACACCCTGAAACAATACTTGCAAATAAGTACTTGACATGGAAACCTGATGCACACTCGTGTTGCATATCCAGTTCGCGAACACGCTCCTCTTAACATGGGAGCGCGCCGAGACCTATACCCCTATAACTCCTGGAAGGGTTTGGAGTCTAAACCGGTGCCTTGTTTTTGATCACCCGAGATGAGGGGGCCTAGGGATACAGCATGAATCCGCGATGCTCGGGATTATGAAGCACATACGTATTTATCCCAGGCAGGAAGACGGAAACATACGTGATAGACTCCCTGCACCATGCCTAAGCCTTTTTCCTGTCCATGCGAGCATTGGCAGACTTTCATGTCGTCAGTCTTCGTCGATCAGCTGGACCTAAAGCTCGGAACAAGTAAGGGAGGTTTCTGTCACACACAGACTCTGCATGTGCATGTGCAAAGACATGAATCCGTCATAGATGTAGCCGTCACACATGCAGAAAGATAGTTCCAAATAAGGGTTCAAATTTGGGACCATCACCTGCGCAGGTTCTACTGCCAACTGATTTCGTATATCTTACAGGGACCCTGCATCACCCTGTGGGTACACCAAGTGTCCTAAGGATCATGCGACTCGAAAGACGCTTTTCTCACCGTCACTATCACCCGAATAGCAAGTTCACTGATGCTAAAACACCATCACGCTCCGAAAGAAATCTTGCAGCAACGACATGAATACTTGTTAGAAACGGTACCCCAGACCCCAAACCCCCAAACCTAATCACAAATCTACTCCTCTGAAAGCAACCTTGCAGACACATCCGGAATTCTTATGTACCAAATCCTAGCGTCTCCTAAACCCTAAAACCTAAACCCTCAACTGACCCTCAACCCACTGAAGCCCGGCGTCAAACGACTCAAACACCGGCGGCCTTGATGACTTGATCCGCCAACTCCCCTGGCTGCATCAAGTCGGGTTAAGGGTTAAAGGTTTAGGGGGTGTGGGGCTATATCGGGGGTGTCAGGTACGGGTTGGTGTTTGGGATTGAAGGGCTCGGAATAGAGAGTCCGGGGTTGCGGGGCTGATTCGGGATTTGGGTTGCTCCACCAGCTAGCCCTGATTCTTTCTTACTCCGAACCTTGCTATTCGTGTTCCGTGCTGCTTATTTGCCCGCTCTTCAGCGCTCATGCCTGACCCTCGAACCTACACCCCACCGTCTAAACCGACGAAGACCTTCGCGCAAAGGCTCGCAAGATCAGGCGGCTGGGGATCAGCAAGTGCAGTTGCAATCTGGCAATAAGTAACGACAGCAGCAGTGCAGCTTCAAACCAGATGTTTGCAAACGTCGCTCTAAACCCACCTACGGCGTCCTCAGATCCGAGGTCCCTGCAGAGCAGTGGCACCTCACATAACCCTATAAAACTACAAACACCTTACTAGTTACAACAAACGGCCAAGAAATTCACACACCCAGATCCAGCACGTTCCAGAACGCCGTGCAAACATCTCCGTAAACTTGAAGACCTCTGCCCTCGCCAGCTACATTTCTAGGTGTTGTGATTTCCTTGTATACTCTCTCAAAACAGTTGCTTTTGTGCCAACAGAAAACTTGGAGGGTCTCTAAGGCGAGATAACTTTAGTTACAATCCAAATCGGAGGACACATATCCCCACTTATAACTACCCATGACACCCTGAAGTGAGCCCCAAAACCCGGCCCTGACTCTAGGGGATCCCCAAAATGGGGCTCCTTATTCATCAGGGGTCTACATCACAGAATATGGGAGTTTCCGAAAATTAGGGGTACCTTATTTAAGGGTCCTTATAATAAGGATCCTACTATTTAGGGTACTATATTAGGGTCCCCTATAACTCCCATATGCCCCTGACTCATGGAGGGGTCCAAGGCAACCAAGGAACCGCCGTCGAAGTCGAAGTGTGCGGTAGAAGCCTTGGGGCTTTGCCGGTTTATGCCTGGGTTTGCCCTTTGCGGATTGGGTTGGAGGCTTCGGGATGAGTCATGTTACTATACAGTACGGCTTTTTCTTCTGTGTCTGCATCTCTTACGGATGATTCTCTGTAGCGACTCTTGTGTGCCTGCCGCAACTCTTGTGCAAACAAGCCTCGCCGT